GTCCCCTGCGTCTGCCCCCCGCCCCCCCTCTGTGTTCCTTTTCCTCTTCCTTCCTCCTCCTCCCTCCTCCCCCTTTCCCTTCCCTATCCTCCCCGTCTTTTCCTTTCCTCCTCCTATTCCGCCTTTCCCTTGTCATTGGTTCGGTGACTTGACTTGGCAAAACAAAACACACAACGTTTATCTATCTAAAGGAAAGGATACATTCATGGATGACTTCCTGAGGCTTATGCTGTCGTTAAACACGGGAGAACACACGAAACCTCCCATGCAACTTTTCCATGCGGCGACATTTGAACCAAGCTCAGTAGGCAATCCAGGTTAGGCTCTTTTCAACGGTAGAGTTTAATGACTTACTTGACAAATAGAAGGGAGAGAAGCGAAGACATACAATGGGTAAGGGAAAAGTTGCTCTTCAGCTGCCTAGGAGTCAGTGACGTCAGGGAAGAGCAAACTTTGTAGTCTAGTAACCTCGATTCCAACCTCGGTCAAACTGCCAGTGTTCAGTGATCTTTTACGATCGGCCACTGGTAACTTCCTGTATTCACATTATTCTTTCTATTTGTACAGTAATATTTTCTCTTTATATTGACCATGTTTGTCTATTTATATTTCCTTTTTGTTTAACCCTTTGCGGCACAGTGTGTCTGGTTTGGACATACCTAAAAATTTCCTTCTGTACACACAGAAATATTGAATGAAAAAGGATTTATAGGTTACTCTGAACATTCTTTATTTTATAGTAGATGGCAGCTCAAACACAAACCAGTCCATTTTTTAGCAATGTTTTAATTTTTTTAAAACCCTTTTTTTCAAAGAAATCTTCCCAGAATTTTTTTAGGCTAAAAAAGGAAATTGTTTGAAAAAAATTTCTATGTTTTTTTTTTTTTTGCTGTAAACTAATTTCTTATTCTATATTAGTTTTAAATTTTTTAAAAAATCTTGCCTAAAAATCCAACAGCCAGAACCCTAGGTGCCCAGACCGGGCTTACGGATATCTAGGACAACTGAGAGTCTGATTCCTTTTCTTTTCCGCATCTCATCGGTTATCTCATTGACAACAATGCTCGTTTCAACATTCTTTTCTAAGCTTTATTCAATCAGTGTGCCACTTTAGGCACACCCACAGAATTAAAACGATAAGTGCTATCTTCACATAATTTTACTTGTGTACTCCTTTAGGCCTAATTAGACTTCCCACTTTTTTTTTTTTTTCAATCAAAACTCCGACTTTAAAAGGTAGCGTGCCGGAAAGGATTAACGAAAATCTGTTGTACCTTTAATAAATTATGTAAATATGTTATAAATATGGTTTTGTGCTCAAATGATGATTAACTAATTCTTAGGAAATGATTTGGTTAATCTTTTCTGCCGAAAGAGTCCAAATTTAATGTGAAAATCAGGAAGAAAAATGGAAACAAAGTCAACAAAACATGATTTTTCTATGAGCAAAGTTTTCTAATCCGCACAACGCTTAGTCCCAAGGTATGCGAAATATCTAAATTCTACTATAAATAAACACTAATTGAGCTGTAGGAATGTTCTAAAATGGTACCCACGGGTCTAATGCGTCAGGTGTGTGGAGCGATCCTGGATAAGTGGTTTACTACTCGCTTTTCTCCCTCCCCCGTCTTCCCAGCTGCGAGGTTGCGTCGACTTCCTCTCTCGTGCGCAAGCAATCGATATATTTAGGTTCGTTGACGCACGTTCAGTCACTCCTACCGTTCACCGCAATCATGAATGAAACCCACGAATTCAGTACGACTCGACATCGCTCTTAACATGGGCTTTAATGGAAATACCACCTTTCGCAACTTACAAGTCGATAATTTAAGCTAAAAAATTGTTCTTCAAAACTGTAATCGAATTGACGATCGGGTCTAAAATGTGTTACACTTTCTTAATTTGTTTATCAGATAATAAATTAAATATATAATATTTTAAATTTACTTCATAGTGATATATTAAGAATTATTATGTATTTACTAATACAGGATACCTTGGTTTGCTTTGATATACGTCCGACTGGGTAAAAACTTGTTTGAAAGCGTAACTTCTTGTTTGTTGTATGCAGGGACGGATGAGGCTATACGGAATTTGAGAAATTACGGAAGCACCGGTGGCCACAGCGCTGCCTCTAACCTGATATGGATGGTTAAAAAGCGGATGAATTATTAACCATAAGTGTAGGATTCATGCAGCAAAATATCATTTGAAGAAATATGTTTAATGATACTCCGCCGCCGCTCCATCCAAAAAACAATTAATTGATGGTAGATGCACTAAACCGATCTTTGTTACCTCATCGTAAATTCAAAACTATTGGATTTATTTTTTTGCTCCATAGGGAAAAGGGAAGCAGTGAATTTTCATGTTCCAACAGTCGGCCGGTTTCACCTGACGTAGAAATCTTGGCGCTTTTATGCAAGTCGGTGAACTACTCACCACCTTGCCAAGACAGACCTTCCCATGGGCGTCCTTATATCTTTGTGGCTGCATTCTTCGTCATAAAAGTTGAACTTTCGTAAGAAGGGTGCCGTATACCTTTTATGTCTTTATGATGGAGCACCCTTTTATCATGGCGAACAATGGCCAGTTTGCAAAAGGCTGTCTGCATCATATTGCAAAGTCGCCTCGCCCGCCAGACAAGTCGTACCCTTCCCTGCATATACGATATTTATTTGTAACACGACTGGAATTTGAGTAATCATGACTGGGCTTATTATCTGTGTTCACCTCGTTCGAGACAACACTTCGATTGTCCATTGACAACACTTCGATTGTCCATTGACAACACTTCGAGTACGCTTTGCTGCTACTGCTCAGTAAACAACCTGTGCTGTAATTCTAAATTTTTGTAAATTTTTCATTATATATATTTGTAAAAATTTTTTAATTCAAATTTTGTCAAACCAATTTATCAGAAAGATAATGAGCGGAATCAAGGAACGAAGAAAAGGGTTAGGATCACTGAGGAGGTGAAAAAAGAGATTGTTGAAATGCATAAAGATAACATGCGTATCCGGGGCTTGATTACTGCATATCACATGTCGAGAAAGATGGGTAAATTCCCTCCCCATTGGCAAGTTTAGCGGATTTAATATCGCCTTTGTTTTACACAATCAAATATTACAACCATTTATTTTTACAAGAATTACAAATCAAATAAGCCGACCCTTTACACATGTTGGTTCAATAATATGTAGTTTGCATTTCTTACTCCAAGAGGACACGAGAGATACAAACTATCAGTTTAAAGTTCTGAAACCATAACCGCAAGTCTATTTTTACAGTAATATCCAAAACGCGCAATTGATGTGCTCTTTTCTCACATGCCTCCTTTCTTTTTGCGATGATGTTTTTTGCCCACTAAGCGTGCTGTGGAAGAATACAATGCCTACTTTTTTACAGACCCATTCCTATAAATATTCCGAATAATATTTAATTGACATCTTTATGCTTTCGTGTTGTGTGATGAATTTTAAATAATAATTCGATGCAATGCCAGTGAAATAAATACCTAGAAATTTCAAGGCGTATTCAATCAGTGATACAGATCGCAGTCGAATGATTTTTAATATATTACTTTTGTAAAGGTTGAAGATGCTGAAGGCAGAAAAAAATCTGAAACGTTTGGTAAGACTAAAAGTTTAGGCTCTAAATTCCCCTTAACTGCAGTCCATTCTCACAGTGCATATCGACAAAGGTGTATATTAAAATCTATTACTATAACTCGATTGAAATTAATAGGGAGTAATTTACAATGAAATGTTTCCCCCTTTTTTTTTGGCATTATCATGCCACTCCTTTTAGATCTTTTTCATTAAAAGACAGCAGACGCCAAATACATTAGTATTACATTACAAATACATTAGTAGTTTTTATATAAAATTATTTATTTGCCAGTTTTACGCACTGATCCGTCAAACTATTATTTATGTTGCTCTTTCCCTTACAACAATGCTATTTTGTTGAATGTAAATATTTTCAATAAAAAGCTCTTAACCCTCTCGCTGCGCATCCCGCTTTATCCACGGGCAACGTAGAAGTAGCAAAATTTGCGCAACCCGCTCTTTCCCCGTTCAAGGTTTCCTTTCGGCTTTTCTGTGATGTTTAATTGTTTATTTAGTTGTCGGCTAACAGATGGCGTTAGTTGTCCACATTTCTGCCAAATATACAAGAATACGTTTAATGCAGCATTTTGCGTCGCGCTTTTCAGAGCCCAAAGGATGTCTGGCAAGGAAGTGTTTTGCGAGTGATATAACCTATATTCCTAACAATATTTCCGACACTGATAGTAGTTCTGACTCTGATTTCAAGTATAAGTTAGAAGACAGTTATAGCAAAACTGATGAAAATGTCTCGGAATTCCTTAGCAGATAGTGATGAATCTGAAAATTCAGTTTCTATTGAAAAACGTTCGACAGTGGTGCAAAATTGATTATATATTTTTGATTGATTAAAAAATTGATGTATATAATATATAGTAATATATGTTTTTACCTTTGTAATTTATAAAATAAATCATAATTTAACCAATATTAAATTTTCAAAATTTTCCTTTTTTATATCATTATTCTTCAATTTCAGTATTCTGACAACCTTTTTTTATGATCTAATTCTATATTGAAAAAAAACTCTTTTACAAAAATTGTTTGTATATTTTAACTCTAAAATGCATGTAGATTTGAAATATGCAATAAAAAAATACGCAACTTTTGAACCTATTTTGATAAAAAAATACGCAATTTTTGAACCTATTTTGATAAAAAAAAAGTACGCAGTGAGAGGGTTAAAGGGTTTCATACTTTTTCATTTTTGTTTATTGAAAAACTAAGCTAAGAGGTTTACCTCTTCAGAACGACTTGATGACGAAGGTGTATTTTCTTGCTGGTAGTGTTAAATTGGCGCATATATCTTTCTAGACAAAACTGCTGAATGAATGTTTTCTAGCAACAGAAATGTTCCTTTATCTTTCTTAATTGAGCATCTTTTCTACTCACCTCTCGCAGAGCCTGAGCGTCCAGCTGGCAATGATCCACAGAGAGACCATGAAGACGAGCAGCACCGTTCCAGGGCAAATTGTCATCAGCGTCTTCAGCACGAACCTCGTATTGAAGTCGATCCTGTTGAGCGCACCGATGGACCTCGAGGACGCGTCCGTGAACAACTTACTGTGGAGCAGCATCACTCTGCAGATGAGGTAGAGGCGCAGGAACATGGGTAGGGACAACATCACGTCCACGGGCACCAGCCGAGACGCCAGCCGGTTTGCGTGGTTCGGCAACTTCGTCACCCACAGGAAATAGAACTCCCCCGGAGGAGGGTGGATGGAGCACACAACCACCTCTAGCAGAATGTTGGATATGCGACGCCAGGTCATGGCGATCCTCCAGTCCTCCGCCCCGTTGTCTATCATGAACAGCTGAAAAGGAAAAGAACTTCAGTCATCGTGATGGATCGTAATTTTACTACAAAACATCACCACATTAACCGCTGCCATAATGAGCAACACCATCACTCATCAGTAATGGCATAGCCTACATCCCCTATGTGGCTCTGGCCTAACCGTAGATATTGCCATCACAGATCTCAATGACATAGATACCATTACAGATCTAAATTATCATAGATCATGGACTATCGTTTAACGCAGACTTGGTTATCATCATAACCTAGACAGTGGCCCTGGTTGTCATAAACCAAGACAGTGGTTATGGACCTTTTCACACTGCACATATAGTTATCACAGATCCATCTACCATAGTTTGTGACACTATTATAACCTATATCGTGGAAGTAATCATAGTTCTAGATGATTAAGATGGATCATTACAGATTCTAGAAACGACCATCATGAATCTAGATAATAGCTGTGATCCGTTACTATAAGCCTTGGTACATCACCATGAACTTAAGTATAATGGCTATAGTTGATGGACAATCAGTGATGTCCAGGATGTAGATCATTATCAAAAATGAGACTTTAAAATTTTGTTGAAGCCTTCTTTGGGATAGTGTGACTTACAGGATAAAAATACTATTCTCCGAAATGGTACCACAACTTTTCAGGTTCTGCCCTCGGGTGATTGCGAATTTGTTAATGTCATAATAACTAGCATAGGATTAAGTGATTCAAAACCCTAAACATAATGCAGGTTTTGAAATTATTAGATATTTTTAAAAATAAAATCTGTAAATATCAGCCCTGCCTAAAACTTTCTGTAGGAGGATTTAGCTGTGTTTATCCCTCTCCTTTTGAGTACGGGGTAAATTGAATTTCAGCCTTTGTTGTGCAAGCAATTTTGCTATTTGAAAAGTTTTCTTCTGTTAACAGAATTGTAATATTGTCTTTTATTTTCCTGCGAGCTCCTTGTAGTTAATCAGCTTCATTCATCAAAATAGCTATCAATTAGAGCTACAAGAAAAATTCAAGTTTACTTTTTCCTCCGGATGATTGATGATTTTTCGTTTCCTCAAACCCAAAGTAGAGGTTATATTGTGCATCCTACGACTGCTAGATATACAACTCGCCCCCTCTTAAAGCTAACACAATTTTACAATGAAATGAAAGTAAAAATGAAACTATGATGTATAGCATAAAGGTAAACAAGCACAGACATAAAATATTGGAATTAAGCCCTGAAACTGGTGCATCTACTTCTTCATCTAGACTATATATTCATCAAAACTTGGCGACTCATGACAATGCACTAATTAACAAAGAGAGTACTATCCCTTCTATATAATGTTGCTTGTTATTGACTAATACGGATCTCTTTAATAGTTATAGCTAATGCAAGCGGGAAAGAATATAAATTTAGTGAAATAAATAACAGCGCATATTCTCTTCGATATATGGAGAGTATCGCAAATACCAGAATTTCTGACAGTGCAAAATGCACCCGATATACATAGGGGTGCTTAAAGGAAAGCACTTCTGAGAGATGCGAGAAAGATAGCTCCTATGATTTCGAAAATACGTTTTCTGGAAACTTCTAGAATGTCGTCGTCAGATAAAAATCACCAAATATCACCAACGTGGCGACAAAAATTGTCGCCAAGATTAAGTAGAAGGTCTTCAGCCTATATTTTTAGTTTTTATTGAGCTATCTTTACAATTCAAATGACAATAGATTCATGCTTAAACGATGTAGAATGTAATCACTTACAAATACATGTAACTTACAGAGGCTGTACGCACATTTTTTAGACGATTTGGATAGGCGTTAATAAAAAATCATTTACTGCAAAAGAATTGCAATTGTAATATGTTTTTAAAAGTCAAAATAATCGTCTGTGGCGTGAAAGTTTTGTTTTTATTCAAAATGGATAATTTAACAAAGCAGTGGTTCGAAGGCTACATTTACGCTCTTTCCGAAGAGAAATATCCATACTCCGTTATCCAAAAACGATGTGAGAGTCATGGTTTTGTGATATATAAAGCGTCGATAGGTAATATCATCAACAAGAAAGGAAAACAACCTCAAATTGGAGCCTCAAGTGGGACAAAAATTCCAAACAAGTATCCAAGGAAAAAACGGACATCTTCGACTATTGCAAAGGTACGTTGTTTAATGTTAAAAGAAAATCCCCCTAGTCAAAGGACAGTTAGTTGCAAAATCATTAAAATGCTCGGCGTCCACTGTAAACAAAATGATAAACGTTGATTTAAATCTTAAGAAAGCGAAAAAAACGCAATGTGCATCGTCTTCTTCCAAAGCATAATGGAAAAAAATTGTCACAATAGATGAAGCATGGGTGTATTTAAATGATTGTAACAAAAAAGAGCCATTTATTATCATAAAAGGGGAGCAAAATTTTAAGTACATGGTTCAAAGAATCGAAAGAAAGTTTTTCTAAGGGATTCATGATTGTTGCTGGTTTTTCTTATAATGGCAAGTTAAAAATAAAGAGACTGCAAAAAATTGTCAAGATTAACTCCAAATACTATCAGGAACATATTGTATCGCCAATTTTTCTGAATGAAATACCATCGCTTTACCCACAGTGCCATCCATCTGTGAGACTCCATCAGGACAAAGCTAGCTAGTCAGTCACACATCAAAATCCACTGTAAATTTCTTAAAAAGAAATGGAACAAAAAAACTGGTATCAAGGCCATACCCTTCACTGATATCCCTACTAAATCTCCCGATGCGTCACCTATGGATGTTTGTGCTTTCGGACTTTTAAACATTGCATTATCCAAACGTTGTCCCAAAACCCTAACAGGACTCTGGAAAGCTGTTCGGGAGGAATGGGATAGAATATCTGTTCTTCCACTTCAAAAGGTATTATCCTGGAAATTGCGGTTTCGAAAGATAGTTCAGAATAAGGGATGTCAAATAGAACATTTAAAACACAAGAATTTTATGTAATTTACTTTTGTGAATACAATATACATAGTCTAAAAATGTGTGAACAGCCTCTGTATAATCACCTCTAAACGCAGAGTGGACACAAATTTGATTAAACAAAAATTCGTAAAAAACTTATTCCATAAAATGCAAAATAAATAAATAACGACTGAATAACCCTACAAAAATTCATAAAAAATAAATTACAAACAGATATTTACAAACATTTACAATAATCATATACAAAAAATATTTACAAACATTTACAATAATCACAATTATATATATGTATATTAAAAAATTCCAGCCAACGCATTTTTTTGGCAATTTTTGCATGCTAGTTTGTTTTCTTTTTCCGTCATATGTTATCTTTAACCGCAATGCATTATCGAAGTATTAGTTAGAGTTCATTTCAGCGGCAAAAGCACTTGAACCATCAAAAATAAAATATATTTTCCAATGATGCGGCAGAAGGATGATTTCGAAATCGTGTGTCTGATCTCATCTATCTCTAGTGGCCTTCCTCCCCTTAGGCGTTTCTGCTTACGGAGCATGCTAAATTTCTTGAAATTAATGATTTTTTCTTAAACAGATTAAATTTTTGATTTATGGCTCAATACACGATGGCTCAAAATGCACTCCACTGCGGAGTGGTGAAGATTCGCAGGAGTACATGATGAAGGACATCGCGAAAAAAAATAATAATTTCTCGCAATATTTTATCTTATTAACTACTTGAGAGATTAAATCGACTACGGACGATCGGAAATAGAGTTATGATTTTTTTTTAATTGTGCGTATTTTCGGCGATTCCAGTTACTTCGGGTATTTGGACTTCTAGTGCAGTTTCAAAATAACTTAATTATTTAATTTTTTAGTGTCTTAATCTAAGTTAAAATGAATTTGGTGAATGCAAATAGATCAGTGACATTAACGTGGCTTGAATTTCCGCAAAATTTGAGCGACTTTTTATGATTTCGCGAATGTCAAAGAAATCCAGGAAGTTCAGCTTTATTATTATTATTATTATTACTTTAAATTTCAGTTATAGCTGTTAAATTATTTTTATATTTGTATAAGTTTGTGCTACTTAATTAGTTTTACTGGACTTCTGTTTGGGAAGAAAATATCGTTTCCAGAAGTTTCTGAAGTCAGCTTCAGTTACCCGTCATGGTGGCAAATAATTCCGATATCGAACGATTCTTTTCTAAATATGCCCTACTCCAAGAAGAAAATCAGGGTCGCACATACCCTGTTAAAATGACAATCTTGATAACAGTGTTTAACACATTTCCAGAATTTGAACAATTTATAAATGCAAGTTTCAATAAAGAAAACTCAATATAACCTTTCTTTAGTTATTTGTGTTAATGCTGCCGTCCGAAATTATAGTTTTAGAAGCGAAATTCTTCGCAATACTGTTAATTTGGCTGGCTGAGTTTCACTTCTTATCCCGTAATCGAGCAAAGTTAACCTACATTTCTTGCAATAAAATGACTGCTTTAGTGATAAATATTGTTACAAATTTTGTATATAGGTAGATGATTTTAGTGCAATCATTTGTGAAATTGTTGTATTTTGCTGCGTAATGCAACATGAAAAATCTAAAGAGACGAGGTATACCGGTGTTGATGTTATGCAAATTGTATTTCTTTCTTTTATCGAAAGTGGCGCAGACGCAAGTTTGTTAGGATTTAAGGAGCTCGCGCTTAGAGCTTAGGGTGGCTGTGAATTACTGTAGTAGTTTCAACGAGGCAGCTGAGTTTGCTTGGTGAGCCGCTACTGAAGTCGGAGGTTTTAGCGTGTTCTTCGCCGTTCCTCGGCCAACTTAATGTTTGAAATCCAATAAAGAAGTTTCGGTCAACATTATGACTCTGAGGTTTCTTGGGTTCTACACTGAGTCAATTTACAGTCAAGTCAATTTACAGTCCACTATTTTTGAACGACGGGACATACAACCGGAAAAATGAAATAATACAGGGGACAAATTCATTTAACATTGAGTAAATGGGTATCTCTGTAATTTGGAGAGATATCGCCAAGCTGCCTACGGTTTTGGCGACTT